GCATTCAGTCGTGCTGCTGCGGAGTTGGAGGAAGGCTTCTCGACGGCTTTTAATGCCCATTCAATGTTCGCCTGGTTGGTCACTGAACGGGATTTAATCCCCGTTGAGGGAGCTGTGGAGGAGTATAAGAACTCTGCATGTTCTGCCTCGACTTGAAATAACAACCAACGCACCCCCGATGCACTTCAGCAACTTCACTAAAATCGTCTTGCTTAGTACCTCGCTTGCTCTTCAAGCCTGCGCAGGACCTTCGTTTCCCAAAGTCAATGCAGGCGACTTCGAGCTCATCCAAGCCGCCACCGCCGCCCCGAGACGTCTTCTGGCGAATGTCGACATCCCGACGGTCCCGCCCTTTGTTCCGTCCGCGGATAACCTCATTGTGAACACCACGGTGCCCCAGGGCGAGTTCGCGGACCTCGGGTGGATCTTCCCATCCGTGGGGGACAACACCGACCCTGCTGTGTTCGATGGGTCCTCCATAAACGTCACCGTCCTCTACACCCCCCCGGGCGGTGTCGAGCAATTGGTCTTCGGGCACGTTGTCTGTTCTTTGAGTTTGATTCATGGTGCTGACGGGGATACAGTATCAGTTCTGGCCCAGAGACCCCCCAGCCTATCGGCGTCGGGTTCTGCGGCTTCTTCCCTGGTTTCTGGATCGAGGGTGTCCTGGATTCGTCTGTTCTCGGAACGTATGATCGTCACCTTGTGTGAGTTATGTCGTGGTATACTGACTGAGTCCCGTCGGTCAGCTATACGGGCAGATGGATTGTCGAATTCGGGGAAAGCACACAGCCGGATGCGCCTGTCGATCCTGATTCGGGGTGCGGCCCCGAGCCGTTCAACATCACGACTGTGGAGTTCGTGAGAACGTGGGAGGTTGTGGAGGCGGCGTGAAACCGTGGTCGAGGTTTGTTTGCGATGGAGGACGGCCCAGTGCTCTTGTGTACAAAAACGGATGTATTGGACTTCATGCCGCCGCGATCTTGCGGTGTATATTTAATTCCGTGGATTTTTGTTTATGGTTCCGTTTCGACTGGGCTCCTCCCATTGGACTTCTTCGGCTTCGCAATTGTTAACGACGTCAATCAGAGAGCTTCAGATGATTGAATCGAGTTCGTGGATTTGTCGTCATAAGCGAGAACGGCAGGCGGAGTTTGAAACACCTCTTGACCTCGTAATTCCTTCACTACCATTCCGCTATACACCACAGTTTAGGGTTACGACGAGCTGTGATTATCCTTAGCAACTACGTCTGTCCAACCACTGATCAGATTCTCTAATTTCTTTCTGAGCTCCGAGTCGAGAGCGCCATTGCTCGGGTTGCAAACAAAAAGCTCCGCGCCCGCGGTGTAATTCGATTTCCGCAGGAGCGACTCAACCACGAGGGTTTTAAGAAGTGCCACGATAGCTGGCTCGTCGTATCCACTTTGAACCACGACAGCAAGCGTCGATTCGTACGTGGCCGTCTTTATGTGTCCAGTTCGGTAGCGGCTATTCCGGTCCTCTGATATCACAGCGTCCGCCAGATACCAAAGTACGACTGAAGTGTCCTGAAAGATCTTAGGATGAAAACCATAACAACCTCTTGTAGCATTGGTCAGAGTTGTTGCCATGAGGGACCAGAGAGCCATTCCATGGGCGGAGCTCTTCGCCACAGATCTCCGGGCCTCCAGAGACCGACGATTCTGAGGTAACAGGACAAACCCCAAAGAAATGGTTCTTCATCGTTGGTGTAGCTGAAGAAAGAGGCAAAAACACCGCGATGTCATCCACCCGAGTCATTTCGTGAGTCGCCATCCCGTGAAAAATGGACGGGATTTTCCCGAGGGCTTCGTTGAGAGCGTCTGTCAACAGGAGAGAAGGATGGGACTGCCAGAAATATTGTAAGGTTGCCCAGGTCGCTTCATATTCGTAGGGCTGGACGTAAGTTTGTCCCATTAGGTACTCGATGAGGATGAAATATGCGCCATCCCTGTGGATAGCCTCCAACTGGTTCAGCATTTTAGGAATCCAGGTGGGAGAGTCCAGCAGTCCTCGTATACTCCTGAGCCCATCCCCAACTGCATCGATTGTCCAGTTGTCTTCGAAAATGGACTGAAGCTCAAAGCATCGATAGAACGACGGTTGAGAAGGACTCTCAGGTGGAAACGGAGGCTCGCGCTGTAGGTGATGATGATGAGTGTCATTAAATTGGCTGTCTATCTAGTCTGTAGTTTACCGCGCGGGGAGTGATTGGAGATCGACCTTATTACGTGAAGTGCGAAGTTTGAATTCGCTCCCACGGTGGTCTCAACTGCCTCCATTGTCATCGCCGCCTTCAATTACATCATTTTACCTCAGGACCTGTAGTTTAAGTACTCAAGACATATATTCCCATGATTTTGGCAGGGGGAAGGTCAATTGACCTCGTAAGGACATTACCAAGGGTCGACAGCCTAAAATCCTGTTTGATCCGGGAACTTATCGGCCCCAAAGCTTTTTGCTCGCTTCTACAAAAGTGCTTCAAAATTTGTAGGAGAAAATATAGTGTCCATACAGCATTTTGGAGATTTTACTTAAAAGATGTTGTGGCCAGTGAGAGGAATATTTTGTTTGGATTGTTGATTGTTGATTGCAATCGCTGTAATGATCGACTTATCCGTTCCTCTCTCGAGTAGGTTGATTTTTTCTGCTGTGGGAAGCCCATGCTATTCTACGCGTATTTTGAGGGATACTTCTTTGGCAAACGAGAGAACGACGCGTCGTTCGCTGGTGTCACAGAGTGACGGGACGCGAACTTTGCATAATAAGGCCGACCTCCAATCAGATGATCAAGGCAATCAACAGACTACAAACATGGGAGGTACGAGCTACTTCGTTTGTAGCGTCTGTCTACGAGAGACTACTGTCTATCGCACAAAGATTGGCCCATCGTGCCAGCGCCAGGGTAGACAATGCGTAGTGTCTAATCTCCCTGGCAGCGGGAAGAGCGAGAGGATATATGAGTTCGAGGTCGAATCGAGCGGATAAAGCGGGAACAGGATTTTCCCTTTCTGCTAGGCTGGCGATCGCCCAAAGAGCCTTGAGACATGTGATGCGTCGCCGAGCAGCGGTTTCCTCGGGAAGGAGACCCGAATCCGCGCTCCGGAGTAAACCCTCGATGCGAGTTATTAGCTGCACATCGGGGTGAGTGACAAGGGCAAGAATATGCTGTCATAGAGACGACGTCTGCCCCGAGGACCCCATCGTGGACTCCTTCGACGAAAGGCTCGAGCTCGCACTCGCCTGCGAGCGACTTGACGGTCCAGACTGTGAGAAATGGATATTGAACCAGTCGAGATTTTAGCGTAAGACTCTAAAGAGAATTGGAAGTCTCAGCAATGCGTAGAGCAAAACTCAATTAGTGTACCTAAAGAGAATTGGAACTAAACTACAGTGAGTATGGAACGAAATTAGAGAGATACGATGACTCACGTCTCAGCAATGCGTAGAGCAAAACTGAGACGTAAATATTTGGCTAAACGTATGTAATAGTGCGCCGAAAATATTTATAGGTAATGCCGAACTAGATCAATTCATGGATCTTAACACAGACGAGTGTGCGCTGGTCCCGAGCAGCCGAGTTCCTGGTGGCGGCGTGAAAGACGGCTTCGACCACAGTATCAGACTCGGCAGCAAGATCTTTGGATGTCGTGGGAAGGCGGCGATTTGCTGAGGGCTCGCGAACTGACTGTAGGAGCTGCCAACATACCCCAGAAAGAGGGGTTCGATATGGGCAGTCGAGATAGAAGAGAGGGAGGATGGTGAGGCTGGAATAGACGACGACGACCAGTGTTAAAAGCACGGAGGAAACGACCACCATGACATAGTTCACCGGCATCAAGAATGCAACCAGGCAGGCGAAGAAGATGAGAGATGCGTGGAGGAGTAGAGGGATGACCTCTACCACGGCGTGCATATTTAAGCGCTTGAGGCCGTAGTAGATAAACGAGAATATGCGGGCGCGGATAATGGGCGCAGAGCGCATGTCTGCTCTGTGTATGGCAAGAGCGTCGCGATGAGCGCACAGCTCAGACTGAGACCGAGGCTGATGAACCAGAGTGCATTGCAGACTACCGCCGTGGCCGCCGGCACAAACACCTCGGGCTCTGGAATCAAGAACGAGCTCCCATTCGACGTCGCGGCGAGCTGCCGCGAAATCTGACGGAGGGTGGTTATAGCAATGGAAGTTCAAATTGAACCATAGACGCAAGAGCGGAATCCAGGCGGACTTGCACAAATGAGGGTATATACACCTGCTAATTTTCTCCTTCCTGTGCAATGAAAACAAATCCGCTGAATAGACAGCTCATTGTCCGCTATGCGATAATTAGATGATAGTCACCTATGCAATTGGGTGGTAAATCGGGCGAAGCGGACCTACCTAGCCAGAAGTGAGTTCCTGGGGGGCTCGTGGAACTTACAAAATCGAAGCAAAAGAATTACCACAAGACCTCAGCATGGTCCAAGCCCGAATCGAACGGGCGTCGCCTGCATGCCGACTCTCGCGGCTCCACCAGACGCGAAGCAGGTGCGGGCCAGTCCGCGACTGGACCTTCCCAATCCTGATTAGAACCTGGACAGGTGGAATGCTTTCGCGGTGGAAACGCACATGTGCATTGGTCGTGTTTCCTTGCTTGATGAGCCTTCCGCGGGGAATACGGGGGTGCTTTCATCGGGGAACGGCGTTCGAGCACGGTGAGTCTGCAAAATACACGCATATGCCGAGGAAAACGATCATCCACGCTCAATTCGGACGAGATCTGTGGTCGTTGTGGGACCTCTCCGCAATTGTACGAACGTCGGTTCGATTCCTAACCAACGGAAACCCTTGGCAATTGGTCATGGCACTGGAAGTTCCCGGGTAAGCACGATTATCCAGGAGTCGATGAAGGAAGGCTTCGGCACTCCGCGAATGTAATTAGAAAGAGACGAGACGCAGAAAAAAAAAGAAAGAAGAAAAAATAAGGGGCAATGGATCATACCGTCGGGGGGACTCGAACCCCCGTCTTCCTCGGATATATCCCCACATTGAAGCATATTTCGAGGATGACCGTCCACTGGTCGACGACGGCTTGTTACCGTATACATACACTGAGTGAAGGCGGTGAGTATCGGATCGGGGCAGAGGCACGGTGGCGGGAAGAGACGCGCGGAAGGAAGCGACGTGCCTTGGACGCGTGAGATTGGACGTGGGGAAGACAGCGAGGCGGCGCGTAGGGAGCGCGCAAAGCCCACAGAGGTGAGGGGCGAGACACGTGCCGCCGGGCACAGCGAGCGGAGGGGGAGCTGCGGAAAGGCACGTTGAGGTGGGTGGACTACTCGCCCCCCTGTAGAATCACACACACAGGACCACCCTCTCACGCGACACGGCGGGGTCAAGATGAGCTGGCGGGCAGCGTAAATAATTACGCGCCCAGCGGAGACGCATATGGAGGGGGCATACTATATTCACGCGTCGCTCGCTCACTCCAGAATGGAAGCGGTGTTGCGTCACTGCGACGTGCAATCGATCCCGGCTGTCGGGAGCCTAAGTTTCAAGTAAGTTGATTCCTCGCGGCCAGATGAGCGGTGTAGGTGTTCGTAAGGAGCACGACGGCAGGAGCTGCATTGGATGTGGCGGGCGGCAGAGGTGGGCGGAAGCAAACGGTGCTGTCGGCTTGATCGGCGGACTTTGTTAGCCACGTGGGAGGATGATACAGCCTGATTTGTCACGCTGGACTTGAACCTCCCCGTACGCACGCTGCTTACGTCTCTGAGCCTCACGAGGAAACGTAGATCCGCCTGGCGTATGCAAATATCAATGAGCACTGGAGGAACCAGAAAACTGTGCAGGTTGGCTTAATTCTAGCTGTTGTTGCAATTTCTTTGTGGGGATTCGAGTTGAATAAACATTAAAGGTTAGATAAAAATGCGAACTGGCACTGCCATCGGTCCAAGCGCGAATCGAACAGGCGTCTCCTGCACGGAGATTAATCAAGATAAAAAGAATTCATGATTTAGCGTAACCTCGACGCAGTTATACGTACCTCGATAGCCCAGATTTGCTCCTGGATAGGCGATTGATTACCGCGGAGCCCAAATTCCAAACCAAACGATGATGACACAGAAGTCTAGTTATTGGTAGAAGCCCGAATCGAAGGAGTGTGTCCTGCCATATGTTGACGAGCCTAAGGCTAGCGTACAGCGGGTTTGAATTTTCGCTGCGTCAGAAATGGAGAATAGAGCGGACATGCCTTGAATTCCTTAAGTATCTAATAAACATTACATCAAGCAACCGGAAGATTCAAGTTGAATTCCTGGGGCCGAGGACTCGGCACGCAGCCTGAAAAACACCTCATCCAAGCGTCAACGGTCCAAGCTCGAATCGCATAGGTGTATTCTGCAAGGCCCAGGCGAATTTTACAAGTGCAGGGCACGCAACAATTGGACCTGGGGAGTACGCTGCGGGCCGTAGTCGTAAGGGGAATCAGCGAATTTGAAGTGAATGCAAATGCACGACACTGCGACGACGCGCTCAAACAACAGTTATTGTACACTTGGTACACAGAGTAGTAGCCTCCGATCTCACCGCGGAAGGCGCTAATTGGAGAAAACGTCTATGAAGTGATCTTTGTAGCCCCAATTCCCGGAGCGAGAAAACGTCAGCAGATTGGCGCCGCTGGCGCGATGCAACGTCTGCCGCATGAGAGATTCAAAGTTGGTGATCTGACCGGATCCAAATGAAAATGTGACGTGGAAATGCACTTCCCGGAGTTGGGGAAGTTTCATCAACGCTGCATCGACCTCGGCTAGGCGAATGAAGTCGGAGTAAGTCGAGCCGGTCGAGATGTAAATGAGTATGTTCACGACTTCGATGTTGGGCATGCAACTTGGGAGGCTCGCGATCACCATTAGCACGGAATTCGGTGTTTTCAACTCGCCGACAGTGGCCTTTAACGTCAAGATGCGGAGTCGGGGGAGACTGGGTAAGGCAAGTGCGTTCCAGGGCAGCCCTGGCGGGAAGGGATGATTAGTCTCGGGCGGCGGAAAATGTCTGTTTGCTGCGTACTTTCAAAATCAATGGCCAGATGCTGAATGGAGTGGGAGTATTTCAAGACAATGGACGCAAAGGCGCTGAGATATGTCCAGGAGTTGAGAGTTACTTCGAGATGCCGGAGATGCCCCAAGGAGTCTGTTATCTCATTTCCAAGGAGAAGCGCATGGAGAGCGGTAGACACATCTGGCGGGTAGTCGAGAACCAGATGATCGAGGACCGCAGTAGATGGGAAGGACGTCTGATCCAGCTGATGAGCGGCGGGGAGGTCTCCGTCCGAGGAGATGTAAATGGATGTGAGAGAGACCTCTTTGAAAGAGGAAAGAGCGTAACGGATAATGGAGGCAGGGACACCGGAAAAACAGTCCAATGCAACACATCGGAGACCTTGAAGGGAGAATAGGGCGACGAGAGCCGTCCGGAGGTCCGCAGGAAGTTCGCCCCACTTCCGAGCGCCACCTCTAATAACTAGGCGCTTGATTGACGAGAGTAGAGGCAATAACGAAATCAACGGGGCGGAAAACGTCCGAGAAGAGATCGATTTGGAGTGTTAGGTCCCGGACGTAAGTAGCGAGGTGAGGGCTGCTGCTCAGAAGCGCCGACCTCTGAGCCACTTTTGCCCGCGCTTCATTCAGGGCCCGGTTCTGACGGGTCAAAGCGAGGCGCCGGAAAAGGTGGCGCTGAGTAGGCGCTACAAACGCGCATGCAACCAGCGAGCATGCATGCAGGCTAGCATAGTCCTGGTTCTCGAGCCCGTTGTTGGCTCCGAGTTCATCGATGATTGCATCCACGAGTTCTTGCGCCAATGCGACCATGGTGGGTGAAGGAGATGAGATGGTAATCATGTATGTGGCTGTATTTGGTTTCGAGCTGCACACGTGTTCTTGCACTGCCTCCGATGATGGGGTTGGAGCTCGCGCAGCTCAACCCCTCCCCCGACAGGTCACGTGCCGCGTCAACTTCACCAAACAACCCCACGTTTCTCGTTTGTTTATTGTCCTTCCACTCACTTTTGCCGCTGCAACACGTCCTCTTACATGGAACAATACGCACCAGCTGCCGTCGGCGAGCGCAAATGCTCTAAAAGAAATGTGGAGCTATTCTACCCCCAGAAGAAGTTGATGACGCGAAGACTTGCCTTAAATGCCGCGAGGCCGACAAGCTCTATAGGCGGAACAAGCGAGCCCGAGAGAAGGAAGCGCAGGAAAGCAATAAACGGCGTAGATCAGAGGCGTCGGATGCCCGGCGCGAGGATGATAACGCGATGGATGTCAATCATCACGAAGAAGATGCAGGCACATCGCGTGGACTGCCGGGTCCGGCGGAAGCGGCACGCCAGCGAAGCGATGATAGTGAGAACGACGACGCAAGTGTAAGTGTTTTACAACCTAGAACGAGCCAAGTCCAACTTCTTTCCAGTTAATGCTGAATTCTGGGTCCCGCCCCGCGGAATATTCGGATAGCCATGTGATGTTTTGTGCCTTAAGGGACATGTTCAGCAAAGGTCCAGATGTCGTATTCCACGGATCTTACATCATTGACCACGACCCCTTGGTCTCCGATAAAGAACGAGTGCAAATGACCACGAACGAAATTTGGAAAGTCTCGGGATACAGATTTAGGTGCGCACCTTGATTCATTGAAACCTTGCTATGATATTGATGCCAAGCAGAGTCAGGGATAATCAGTCCATGAAGACTGGCTACAAAACACGGCTGTGGTGTTGCCAGGATGCAGATAGAAAGCAGAAGGCGCGTCCGAGTGCGAAAGAAGAGGCGAGGAGACGTGACACAGTGGGGATGAAGCGGTACCAGTGCCAGAGCCGTCTCATCGTTACGTGCCGCGAATCAAAGGACGGGCGGCGTGTTATAGTTGTTCGGCTAGAGCACAAAACGGCACACGTCCATTATTATGATGTGAACATGCCAGCCGACGCGACTGCCATGCTTCGTGCCAACATCGAGTGGACGACACCTGTTGCCATGGTTGGGAAAGTACAGGCTTCTTTTCCGAGTGTTACGGCCGCCCAGGTGCATTCCGCATGGACAACAATGAGCGAGATCCTCTGGAAACGCGACAAAATTCAGCTTACTTCCGCGGAGATACTATTACGAGAGTATTCTACCGAAGTTGACGTCTTCGACGTACCACATGAAGAAGGAGTTGAGCAGCTGTGCTGGGGTATGAAGAAGATAGCTGGGCCGCTCCGGGGGAGGATAGTTGAGATTGGAGCCGACGCAACTTGTGAGTTCGTACTTTTTTGGAAAGTTATGAATTACTGATTGTAACGGCGTAGTCAACACGAACCAGAAGCACTTGGAGCTTTACAGCATCCTCGGGGAGTACGATAACGCAGGTTTCCCGCTTTCCTACTGTCTCCTTTCCACTGCATCCTCTATCCAGCTCGGAAAGCGGAAAAAAGCCTTGACAAATTGGGCAAAGATTCTTCGCGATGAATATAGCATTGATGTCGACTTTATTCATCTTGACAAAGATATGGCGGGAATCGGAATGGGGACAGACACATGGCCCATCGCGAAAATCCAGCTTTGCTGGTGGCATCTAGATGATGCTGTTACAACCCGACTAGCGAAGAATAAGTTGTCGACAACCCCATATAACTCCGAGCGCGCCCATGCCGAGTTCTCATTCATCGACAAATCCTTCAAACCCTCGGGACGTGCCGACCATCAAGAATATGAAGGGGGCCGTTTCGACGAGGCCCTGAGGATTGATTCTACAGCCAAAGCGGATCTCCCGCCGGATACAGTGTTTCTTCGCTTGCCCTTGAAGTCTCTAAATGGGGAAGCTGCCGCCTCATCAGGATCCCCCGATGTCTCGGAGTCTGCTCCAGCACCGACCGAATGCAGCAAGGAGAATTTAGCCCCTGCTCCCAGCAATCCACCACCCCTAACAATCAAACTTCCGGCACGCACTAATGTAGAAACCACGACATCATCTCGGGAGTCTGAGACACACGTCTTCTGTCCAGCCGATTGTAGGAAGGATGTGATAACTTTGATGGAAACCCACTTCTGT